GAGATTACTGTATGCAGCTAGCACTAGCATTAGATGCCTACCCCAAAATCCTTCCCCCTCGGTAACATAGACCCATTTTCGAACTGACTTCTGGATTTATTGTAAAATTGAAAACCCGATTATTACTGCACAGTGAAAGTGCAACATGTATCTGCACAAACATAGGAGTGCGCACTGTCCTTCGGGGACATGCGTGTCGTTTGTGACGAGCAATGTTTTCTGGCCTGCTATTGCGATCTGTAGCAATAAGGTACCCTACAAATCATAAAAAAATCAAATTAATTGCGAAGGTACTAGAGGAAGAACGGCAAATACCCCTGGCCCTTAACCATAAAAGCAAGCGCGGGAAACTCGACTGCCCTCGGTAAGCTCTTATACGGGGTGAATGCGCATTTGAATGCTTCCAAGTCGTCGGCCGAATGCATGGCGCGTTCGTGAGAGGATGAATACCACTGGACATCCATTTTCAATGCTAGGGTATAGCAGTTACCAATTAGTGGCCGCCAACGTAATGGTTTCCCTGCGTTATCATTGACCAGTGATCTGGCATCAGAGCCAGACAACCCTATCATCAACGGCTTCCTCAAAATGAATGGTATATGAACACGGGGAAAAACGATCAATTTCAGCGCGTTTCCTCGCCTGAAAGCTACAACTTAAAGTCGAGAATTCGTCGAGGACGACCACAACAGGACATCGCTGACGACGACGATCCAAATAGTCAAAAACGACGACACCGTCGACTCTACGCGAGGCAATACAGGTAAGGAGCTCGATTCTAGCAGCAGTAAGCACCTCTCAAGAATTTACCCTAGAAAATATGCCCTATTCCAGAGCTCAGATGCGTCACAAAGTCGACGAAGTGAAAGTACTGAGGGCAAAACTCGACGAAATGCGACGTACTGTGGAGAAATTGGAAGCGGCATTGGAAAGTGAACGGCGAGAACATCAACATAAAGCCGTTTTGCTCAACTCAATGATTCAATCAAAACTGATCCCCTGAATGGACATTGTTCTTGCTAATAATGTACATATCAATTGTATTGTCATATGAGATCGCTTATACGCTGGTACTTCACGATATCTCCGCCACTTTGCCTGTGAATTTATACAACCATGTACACTGCAGTATTATTTATTGATAAACATCCTGATACAATCCTTTTGCGAGGTTTTCAATCAAAATCGGACAAAAACAAACTTCGATATTCTGATATCAAAGCACATGGGCGTCCGTCACCACGAGATAACTTTGACATACATACAACTTGACATCAAGTGGAAGGGAAAATCTGTAAATAACAAAACCCAGAGCAATGTGGAGGGATGTAGGAGTACGGGCTGCTAAGCAGTAGGGAAACACCTTTGCACTTCTAAATTCGTATTCTGGTACCGATCAAGAAAACGCCTTTTCCACTCAGTCACAATGAAGACTGCCTGCTAAGACTGACAAGCCTTCCTTTTCTTGATCGCTAGGAAGCACTTTGTGGGCGAAAAGTTCATGTTTGATAGTCTACTGTTCTAATTCAATGCTCGAGTCATAAAGGTGAGGGCAGAGGTACAGGGTAACCACAACGTGCACGTAATCCACAAACTGAAATATGTTGGCAAGCAAAGCCGGGTTGAGCACCCTAAGACAAGGAAATTCGCCTTTACGCCTGTCGCCGTGGTCAAGCCAAAACAAGGCGCAGGAAATTTAACAGAATTCCCAAACAAATGATAACCAAATGGACAGCTGACGCGTAACAATTCAACGAAATGACCAACCAATGCATTCTTAGAAACTATGAATTTGATACAGTCAAAGGAGGAAGACGAGAGAAAACATGAAATAAATAGCGGCTGAATCTGATGTAACACTATTTTCCAGTCTTCCGAGACAAGATGCGCTTCCCTCTATCGCCCTCTCAAACTGGGCGAAGTATGGAATGCCAAAACACAAAATGAAGGTTACACTGACTTGGTGTGTACGAAAACAGCTTCGCATCAGACTCTGCCATGATAGAATCAATCGAAATTCATCTAGTTTTTCACTGAACCTCAATGCCTCGTCCTTTTCGAATCGTCGCGGTCGTTGTCCCTATCTCCTCCTCTTTTGTTCTTCACTTGCTGGAAGAGATCACCCAAACCGAACACATCTTGTTCACGCTCGAACTGAAATAGAAAATATTGCTTTTCAGCTGGCTGCTACTCATCCATAGAAACACACAGACACAACCAATTTCAATGATTTGGTAAGCTTTTTTCGACTTTTCTTGCTGGACTTCTGCATTCTTTACACCAATTTAGGCTTGGGCATGGGATACAGCAACATCGAAACGAATATCAAAATCCAACCATAAGCAGAAATTCATGTATTGAATTGGGGTAAAAAAAAGTGATGGATATTAGGTCAAACCAGGTCGAATATTAGCCAAGCTAAAAGGAATCATTTGGCTGAAACAGCTAAACAAAATAAAGTAGAATCGAGCAGTCAGTCAGTGAGCGAGTCAGCACCCCTGGTCATACATTTCGCAAAAAGGCAAAAAGGATCAGAAATCAAGTGGCAGATGTAAACCCACTCTAAAGGGCCACAAAATTGACTTATTATTAGCTTAGCTTTGTTTGACGTTTTCAACATTTACAAAACACCAAAAATCAGATTTTTCAAATAACCTGGTACTTGCAAAAATAACATATCTGTTTTTGTTTACTACTCACACACCAAACACAATTCGAACAAGTCTCGTCGATGTTTACGTTCTTATCGGTTACCACAGCCTACCCATAAATATTGCGTATCACCGCTGGGCGCCAAAGAACATTTTATAAGCAAACACTGACGCAAGCAATTACATCGCTCAGCAAACTCAAAAAAGGCATTCAAACTCGTCCACGCTGTTTACTGCAAAACAAATTAGAGAAAAAACCTGAAAATCAAATATCAGACTCTCCCACCCTTCCCCCCACCCAAAAAGGAGTACTTCAGATCAGGGTGAGATACTCAATCCCACAGCATAAGATTCACACTTGAGCAGACCAGATACCTCTAAAAAAATTCAGCCCAGGTCCAGAATTCGAGTAAGGAGGCCAAAGCACCAACACAATCATTATTCTGACCTTCTTCCCTTCATAAACAGCACAACGACATCCCTCGTACCCTCATCTAATTGTCATCCAGCCCACTCTAACAGTTGTATTCGGTTCACTTGACGTCAGTTGAGACCGGTAAATTCAATGCAACTCATTTACTCTATAGCTACATGTTTTACACGTCCTTCGAGAACTCATAAGGCAACGCTCCAGAAAATATGTTCTGTGAAGCTTAAATCCCATACCATACCCCCTTCTTTGCACTCTTTATCAGTGACAAACCACCATAGAAGAGAAGAAATGATGTAAGGTCCGGTCATATGCACATACGGTGACGCGATCGCATTTATCTCAAATGTCACTAGAAAGTAATTCAGGACAGCTGATATGACACTTATGGTGAGTCGCCGCTTTCAGATAGATCAGCTGATGATCACATACAGATCGTAAATTCTATGTAAAAGAATCGCGTTGATTTCGCAAAAGCTCCTTGATAACCGACTGATAACGCCGTTTTGTCCTCAGTATGGCAATTGAATAGAAACTTTCGCTCTCATAAGCGTCCACGGGGACAAGAAGCCTGCTCAAAAAGGAGCGGAGCATTTTCAATTGAAAATCCCGGGTCAAATACACCCACTATCCCGCACCAGTGATATTGTACGGTGGAAAACAGCAACGGGCCTCGTTGATGGAGTTTTCTTTCAAGCACTGCAACAGAAAATCCGGCACAAACAAAAGCCCCACAAAAATCCAAAAGCAACTGGAGCTTAATGACGGTGACCAGATGAAGAGAAAATTAGTTGGAGCTGACCTGAACTGGCCCCAGAGATCCTCCCGAAGAGCTGCCCTTCTCTCGCTCCGGACGAAACACCTTTTTGTCAGGAACAAAGCAAAGCGTTGCGTATTGATAATTTTATCGCGAGATCGTCACCATATACGTCCTTGTCGATATTTTTACCTAAAATTTGAAAACTACAGTAACATATTGGATAGAATTGATCTTTGGAAAGGCGCACATTTATTGTGTATGGCAATTAAAGCTTCTCAAGATCTCTACTTTTAAAAATTCTATTCTTGTCCTCATCTGGGCGGCGACAGTTTACTGACGCTTAGAATAGGCTTATTCATAATGCGTTCTCATGTAAAAAATGTTTCGCATAGGCAAGAAATAATATAATGTAGCACTAACAATTTCAACAATGATCAAGCGCACGCCCAAACACCATAAATGGACGCAACAAAAACCACCGGTTTTACCCCCGTAAGCATTTGTACTATCAACCTATCCGTGCTTCCGCACTACCGATTACCTTCCTTGAATTCACGCTCCCTATAAACTCGTGTTTGCTAATGGCATCTCAACATTTGCACGACGCAGGTTAACTTCTAGGCATTTGATCGAAGGACGAAGGCTTCACAAAGTTACGAATTCTTTTCGGTGCGCTAAACAGTCTCCACTCACAATCAGCACCTCACTTCCAGTTCAAAACTCTAGCTTGTCCCTAGAAACAGGGGGGCGGAATGAATTTTATAACTACCCGGACAGAAGGCAGACTGAGCAACTTAATTACGAAATTAATGGTAATAGGATACATACTATAACCATGAATGGAGCTACTTTGACGCCGAGAGGGAGAGAACCGTTAGTCCAAACTTTCGGAACCTGAGATTTTCTATGTCTTCCCAATGAATGCTTTAAACGTGTAAATTGAACAATTTCTACATATATCAAAAACCTTGGGTGCAAGACAGAGTTCTTTAACGCTTTGTTAACATTTTGATATATAAAATAACCAAGGTAAAGCTTTAGAAAGGAATCGTTTCTTATTAAAGTATGCAATTCAATGAGTAATAACATCAAAATCTTTTTTTTGTTAACCGATCATTCGTATTGCCATATCAGCCCCTTGCAACCCTTCCTAAAAAAAAAAGCGGCAACCAAATGAGGAGATTAGTGCATTAGAAACTCGTCACACTTCCTTTTTGTTCCGAGTTCTATGCGAGGGATACGGAAAATGGGCGAATGCTGTATAGCGGCAGGCAGGAGTCTCCCGTAAAAAATTCACAGTTACGATCCAATTAAGTCTTGGCATAAATTCCACAAAACACTCCAAAACGGCTTCCCTCCCTACCGCACTCGGACTAACTGATAACGTCAGATTTGTCGGATGGTGTGGAGAAACGAAACACATTGGCATAATGCATTAGCTTTCTCTCGGTAAACTTCCATTAAAAATTTCGGACGCTTAAAAAGCGCACGATTCTTAAACGGACGTCCGTGTTCGCCGTTCATAAAAGCGACTTCACAGCGCGCGAAACTTTAGCCGTCAACTGCACAACGTCAATAACGATTTACTTCCTATATGAATAATTCAATGTGGCCCTACCAAAGTCCTACGATGCATCCCTAAGTCTTGATTTAGAGAATCCTTTTACCCCATAGACTACGACGATAAGGTTATCAATACCTTTGGCCTGGTTACTACCACTTCTTGCAAAGACCATTCATCTCCAAAAATTTGGCTACATTACGCACGATTTGACCACGGATTTGATCCAAGGACCATGAAAGCGGTAGCGGCCCATAGCTATTATTTCAACTACCGCACCGAAGGGAAAAATTTATTATGAAAATTCTATGATTCAGTTTGACTAACCATTAAGATTTATAATATGCCAGACACAAGCATTAATAAAATCGCAATTATTTTTAGACACTACACACACTGGCTAGTGACCTGCGCCCAAGAACTTGCTCCAATAACCACTTCAGGATGACTCTCTTAAACATTTGGCGACTTGTCTTCGGAGCTGAGATAATAGAATTTCTATTTGTGCACAACTCGGCCTTCAAACGGGCGCCAAAGAAACGCCAAAGACTTTTCGACTGTGGTAGTACCGTTATACCTACGGATGCACATGTGTGCTAACGGTATCAAATGGTTAACTTGCACAACTCCGCATCAAAAAGGCTTTCCTGCCTCGACAAGTCCCGAACAATGGTACCTTCGACCACGGAAGAGGTACACATGTGCACCAACAGTAAACGAAGGGTTAAATTCTGGGGATTGAATTTCTAGATTTCCCATTCCATATGCGAAGAAAAAGTTAGCTAAGCATGCAGTGAAGGCATAGTCGTGTACAATGTACCTTGGACTCATTAATAATTATAGAATTACAATATTTACAGAGTTTTTTGTTGAAGAGTGACGTTTCCCACATACAGTGTGTTTTTTGGAATATTCGATAAAGCATTTGATCAAAAAATGAGGCCATAACAGGAAAAATAGCGCGGCTTCGTGCTGGTTCTAATCGCAACAAGAATTCATGTCTAATTCGTATGAATATGCATAGACGGCCGATAAGGAAAACAATCAACAGCCGCAAACGCGACCAGACTTCAAACGCACCCTGATGACATCATGCCTCATCACATTACGATCTAACTGATAACGAAACAGGACGGCAAGATGAATGTGCTTCCAAAATGGCTAAGGGAGCGTTCCACCAACAGTTCGAAAATCGTGGATTGTATCAGAAGTAAATAAGAACTAGAAGGACACAAAGGCTATTGAACATTTTGAAAGCAATTTTGCGACCTCGAACTGCCATTGTATAGCGCATTTCAATCGCAGTAAGGCTTCGTTTGATTCAGACCACTAATTCAAATCAAACACAAAATCACTACGCTACGACTTCAATGTCCTTATCAAAATGTGGAGCACATCCAATTGGTCCACTATCAAATGTGAAGAGATAACTTGAAAAAAAAACATTCTGATCGAATAGAGAATCAGAAAAGACGATATTTTTATAAACCTACTTGGTCGGTATATGTGCTGCTGAACATTATCACCACCACGCCACGCCTTGTCGTAAGGATTGTAGGTTTCGTCATCCATGGCTCCACTGTCCAGTCCCTGAAAAAGTAACCCAATAACCAAACCAAAACGCTTCACCGTTTGAAGTTACCCGACCTTATTTTGATCGAAAAGCCTCTGATCAAACTGTGTCTCACTAGATCGAACTTTAGCATCTGGTAAACCAAGTACAATTTTCTCGGAAATATCGCGATCGCGGTCCCTGAAAAAGAGTCACGTACATTTCCCATTGAAGAAGAAAAGAAACTTCATGAAAAGAACTAACCGCATCAACTTATCGACCTTATCAGGTCTATTGCGCGCAATATTCCTCTCCTTGCGAATATCATCGAGACGATCACGTCTATAATGCAAGAAAATCAAGACGTTCCAGAGCTTTCCATGAACAAAGCATTCAAGATTACTCAATTTTTCTCACGCCTGATTACCCACATTTTAAAAAAAGCACTTATTATTATAAATAGATGCTGATTAGTGCCATAGGCAGACCTTAAAATGATCAAACCAAGTTTCTGCAGTGAGAATGAAGGAAATCTCGCGTAAATTAGGACAGAAAATTTCAAAATTATTTTATCCTTGTTGTTCCTTTATGACATGAAGGAGAGCGAAAGTCATGTAAGAACTGAATTTCTTCTCGATGGTGCTTGCATAGCCAACAGGATCCGTTCAAGTATCCGAAAGGAACGAAGGCCACAAGCAAAATTTCGAAAAACTTGCAATACTCGAAAACAAGACTCTGGAGAGAAGAGAATGCATTTACAATGAACCAAGCCAGACTCTTCGCAGGCTGAGGCACCCATAGTTAGGCTTTTCAAGTCAAACCAGAGAACCATGCAAGAATCAGTAACACACGAAAGGGCAGAAAAGTATCCGTACCTAACTTCCTCTCGTGCTTTGACAGCTTCATCCTCATCCTCATCTCTTTTCCTGATACCAGCGCGTTCCTGAAAATATTTCCATTGATATGGAAATAACATGAGCTACCCATACCTTGCTCAAAACAGAAAAACCGATCACCTGTCGCGCTTTTGCGGCCATTTCACGCATGCGAGCTTCCTGTTCGAGTTTCTTATGTTGAGCAACCCTCTTCTCCAACTGCGCTCTTGCTTCTACAGACTCCCTAGCCTTCCTGTCAGCGATGTACAATGCTTCAGAAAGTTTTGCGAAGCCTTCGTTGATATGGGTCTGAAATTGGAAGAATTCATGGATAATATCGAACCGAGATAAGCGCCATTAGCCCGTAGCCTGTTGTATCCTCTGCCATCAGCAGGCTAATCTTTTTGTCCGCAGTGATACCAGTGAAACCGCTTAAGTAAGAATTAATCAATAACGAAATATTCTAGACGATCTGGGACAGATGGCCTCTAAATTCCCATCTACGCGTTAATCTTTATGACACCAACAAGGCCACCGTCCTAATTGTCCAACGTAGCACACTATACATTAACGCATGTTCGCGTCACATCGGCACGCCACTGTCAACATTCAAATGGGAGGATTGAGAAAAAAGACGGTTCAAGCAAGCGAACACGTGCTGGATGGGACAAGCCGAAAGAGGTTTCTTTGATAAATTCGTACGACACAAAGACTGTCTTCAAATCTCAGATCTCACCCTTAGGATTCTTCCAGTTTGAAATGCAAGGCGGAATTTTCCAGTCATTTTGATCTTTCGTTGTAACCTGAAAACAAAGAAACATTCGAAGGGAAAAAGACAGCATGAAACTGTCAGAATAAAGCAAGAAATTGCTAGTAATCATTAGCAATACAAAATTTGTAGCGACTGAAAAAAACTGAAATTGAACAATTCAGCAATGTTGAACCTGCAAACAACACTGCAAGGCTTACCTTTCGGGGAGGACTATGCATCACTGGAGCTGGAGGTGAAGGAGGAGCTCGGGGAATTTTCTGGTTTATTCTAAATTCGGTATCTCAGCCATCAAACAAAAAAAGATGGATAAATTATTAACATCTAAGGATCTTGAAAGATAAAAAAAATAAAAACATCGAAATGATTACGAAAAATAATTTACCACTCCTTTCTGAAACCAAAGAGGAAAAACGTGGGAGCAAAAGTTGTTCTTCCTCGCTATCTGCGTACTATAAATAAACATGGCTTACCTGAATTTCGGAGGCTCCATAGGATCCTTCTGCTCTTCCACCATCCGAATGATTCGCTGTTGTGAACCTTAACAAGACGGGTGCATTGCCACTATTTCATAATCCGTTATGGTGATATGAAAATAAAAATATAAAAATAAAAATGGAGTCAATGTGAAAAATAGCGAAAAATGTGAAACCTGCAGCATGGCCCTGACTTTGTTGACTAGGTGTATATCTAATATATTGAGCAGGTGCTTGCTTTTCGGCATGACGTACAGGTAAAGCTGAGGCTACCTGAGCAAATGTGAGGTTCTTTCAATCACGAACTGAGAATATCGAGTTCTCCCGATATCTGAACGTATCTCTGAACAACCAGATGGTGAACTCACCTTGCTTTCCGTTATTTTTTCCAATGCTAATCGGGTCTTCTCTGGTTTGCTCGGCTATCGTTTCCTCATCAGGCCGTTGGATATCCTCATCATCCTCATCCCATGCTTTGGCGCGCATATCCGCCAATTTTGTGTAAACCACCTAAATTAAAAGGTACAATCCAAATAGAAAAAATGTTACAGAGAGATGTCACTTGCTCAAAGATGCACAAGAGTAAGATGTCGTATAACATACCTTATTTTTATCATGTCCGAGTCGTGCAATAGCGTCGTGTCTTAATTTCCCATCAGCATCATACTGCAGTGCAATCTGCCCTTCACTCTTCCCTTTTCGTTCCCCTAAACCCATCCCAAGCGGGAACTGAGCTACATGTATTTCTGGAAAGGCTCCTCCGTCGCCGAAGTCCTGCAAAGTTATCTTTTATCACAGCGTGGAGCGAATATACGAGAAAATACCATACATGAATATTGTCGAAAATTTATTTCTTCAACTAGGATATATTTTCAACTATAGCAATAACCTTACTGATCATTCACATATTGTCAATGATCTTTTGGTCCAAGGAGAGAAGCGAAAACAAATGTCGGAGGTTTTAATATAAATTAATTTATTATTGGTCAATCGCAATAGCCAAAAATAGATTAACTCGGGGTAGTGCTAAAAGATTTACTGACTTTTTAAGCATAAATGTGAGAAAGATAAAAAGTTCTGCTTAAGCGAGTTAGTGCATTGAGGTCAAATTCGGACCACAGAGAGCAAGATAAACAAATGAAGTACCCCACAGTAATCACTAGTTTTCGGAATGCGCCATGTATCGCACTTCCATTCGGAACTGCAGCGAAGTTTGAATACTATAAACCTAGACAATGGCTTATGGCGCCAGCTGATGTACGTGCTATTGTTTTTATCCTCCCAGACGAATACATGGCAGCAAATAGCCGACTCAGATTGGTGGAAGGCTTCATAAGCCTAGATGGAATTCGATGCCGATTTTCCCCTAGCATGATCATTAGAATGCCATTTTCCACTAAACCAACGCACCCTTGAACCAGCTTACCCTTGTGACAATTCGATTAGCTAGTAATTTCGCTAATTGTAAGACAAAATGGTATAGAATGTATTCTGCTGGCATTAATTCAGGCAACACTTCTTTATCCACGTCCATCACATGTCTCGCAATTACTGTGGATTAACAAGCTACCTCCAATATTGAACGGAATCTAGGGGATCGAGCACGCACATTCCGGCTATGATTTGCAGTGCAGCCAGCTTGACCACGTTAAGCATATTATGGAAATCAAAACGGGTGCTCAACCTGTGCCCGTTGATTGTGTGCTTATAAAGCAGCAAAAACGAGCTACCAGTCACCTACTGCTCGCAGCTTTATGTATTAGGTCGGTCCATAAGTCTTGCAACAAACTGGCTGAATTTTGAATTTAATATTTTTTTTATCTTTTTGTTCCATTCATCCGGCATAACACACCCCATCAATATCTACAACCTATTGCCAACTTACTAGATGCATTGAATTCTAATCGAAGAAAGATCAGATGTCGATTTTGACATCATGATGGTTAGGATGAGATTTCTTCTCTAGGATGGTTTGGAGAGGGAAGCAGGTGGGCATCCTTTGGCACGAGGTCAGGGCTATAACGTGAATACGGAAGAACTCTCCGTCCCAGAGTCTCGAAATTTTCCTGAATTTTCTTAGCAAGAGGTTTTTCAACGGTGTCATACAAAAGCAAACTTTGCCTTGTTTTTCTTTCGTATTAAAAGCGTTGCATTCGAGCTGTGGATAGTTGACTTTCGCGTTGACTGCGACATCTACACGTAGGGGTTTCCAGAGCTCAACTCCTCCCGTTGTTCCAGAAAAATCCAGGAAGGCCCTACTTGGACGAGGTTGAACTTCAGCAGTAAGAACTCCAAAGCCTTTGAGCTGACTATCGCCGCTTGTTATTTGTTAGCATACTGTACCGTCTCCTCATCTTCGGCAAATGTGATTGGTGGTCAGCGGAATAGCTTTTCAAGTCTTTGGAGATGCCTCAGTGCTGTATCCTTGTCGCATCAGAATTGCTCTGGCAAATGATCGATAGTCTATCCAGATCCCTTTCAACAGCGTCAGATAGAGCATCGTGATTGCCAGTCACGGGGTGGTTGGAGTGTGGATTATCTTCAAATAAAAAAGTCAACGCTGAGCAGAGTGAAGCGCCGTGCACCGTGATTTGAGAGAGCGTGCCCTCGCCCATCTTCTGGCTAATCCTTGGTGTAGCATGACTTGCGGAACATTCCAAGCAGTACTCGTAAAAATTAAGGGCACGAAGAGCTTTTCGCGAAATCGGTGTAATATCCATAACAAGTAGCGAGACAACGAGCTGGACGGTTGGCTGAAATTGCAAAGGTGGATGCTACGTCAACAAACATGTTGCGGAATTTTCGGAGTTCTCACAAAAATTCTCTAGCATTAAATGTAATTTGTTGCAAGACTCTTGTTCTTCAAGCGCCTTCAAGTTGATCTGTTCTAGAACTAGAGGGAGGGGTCTTGAAGATCTCGCTGGCACGTCCAAAACTGACGTGCGTGTCACCTTCAGAGCCGGCAATGAATATTTGAAGTTGACGAAAAATATACCTGCCCCTCTATCGCTGCCGCAATTTAAACGCTTGGCGATTAAAGTTCTGCTACGAAATGGCGTATCCTAATTTTTTTAGAGACTGACTAGCAAATATGTTACTGTTGCCATTAGTGCCTGTTTTTGTTGTGAATTTACATTGTCATTATTGTGTTTTCTCACGTGAGCCTTCTGCTGACGTAATAAACTTATACTTATACTTATGAACTAACCTAATAGCATTTGTTTCTCTGATTAAACAACATAACATGGAGTCCTTGTTATATCTCAACAATCCCCTAGTAGAAATCCCTATGAACATGTATACCTGTTCGACTACGATGAAAGATGAGACGTCCTCATTACTTAGTGTCAGCCATTTTTCATGTTTTAAAGGTGCCGTTGTGCGTTTTCTGACCCCCTCACCCGCAAAATTCTTACTTATGAATCATCGACCATCACCAAAACAGTAAAAAGTGAGATAAACAGTACGATCTCAGCATGGTTAGTCCTGCTCTGATGGCGTGCTCATACCATTGGTATAAACACTCGAAGATGTCGATTTCGGAATGCTCAAAATCCAGTAGAAAACACACTACTTATTGCTGATGAAATCATCACCTTCAAAAGGCCCATAATAGTTACCTCAACATTACGTGGTCTGAACCCTTGACGACGTCCATAAGGAGGCGGTTCCTTTACAACAATCGGCTGTAGAAGTGGGCAGTGCGTCTTCTCGTCCACGAAACCATGGATCTCGACGAACCTTTAAAGCAGAATTATATGCCCGAAGACTAGTACTTAAAAATTCAAAGTCAAGTGAAGTTCAGTAGAAGGAAAAAAGTTCATTGAAAGAAAAAAAAGGAAACATACTTGGGAATACTCGTCAGTTATAGCGGAAGGGGCAGGGAGCAATCTGTAATTACGGTCCTTTTCGAAGCCACTCGATAAATAAACAAAGAATCAACGGAAATTTGTAATAAATCATATTACGGTCTTTTTCAGGTAAGTGATTGAAGTATGGCAGTACAGTACACTAAAGAAACGCCCATATTTGTTAAAATCATAAATGAGAGGTACTTACTCAGTCAACTTCAGAGACATGATTGCCCAGAAAAATAAATCCGGTGATCCTAGAAACAAAACGATTTTTAATGAGTGCAAAATAACAAATTCAAGCAACACCGAACTGTGAAAACTGTTCTACGAAGTAAAGCCAAATAGCGAAGCTGTGTCCACAACAAGTTGTTAGCTAATGTACAATCAATCGTTATGAATGTTTATTCCAGTGTAGCGAGCAGTGCACAATAAAAAGACCAGTAATGAGAAAAGTGAGATCCACACTACACAACATAGAAGGTCACTTTTTAGAGCGTAAAGCCTTTTCAGCCATTTGCACAATTTCTTCTGAGGCATAACGGAAGTTCTCAGCTTCTTCAACGACTTTCTTCCTCTGAAAATAGCAGGATTAAAAAATATGCATAAATACCATTACCTTCACTGACATACCTGCTGAGCAGCTATCCGACCAGCTAATAAAAAAATGAAGTCGCGAACTGTCCATGTCTTCTCATCAAGTTTATTCAGTTCCACAAAACTACAATCTCTTGTGTGTGACTGATGCTCCTCCCTAGATGTCATGAGGAAAATTACTAAAGTTGACTTTAATGGTTCATTACATAGAGGCAGCATTAAAGGATACCATCGGTTACCATGGGTCGTCTTGCTCTTCAAATATCATCTCCTTGAGGCAAAAGGCACACGTCGCTGTAGCTGGCTCACTCCTAGTTCCGGAGAAGATAAATCCCGCCCTGGCTAGCTAAAATCGAAAAAGCTGCTCTGTAATGGCAGATCAACGAAAGTGTCGAAGTCAGTCTACGGAAAACTCACTGCTTCAGATGTACATGGCGAGCGAGATTTGTCGAAACACCAATTTTTAAATGTTGCCTTGCGGTGATGGTAAAATAAAACATCTGACTCTTCGGAAGCAACTTCGTCGAAGATCGTCGTTTTCTCATTCAAATTGGGCATACCTAAGTAATGCTAATCCATTCAGACATTTACAATAACGAATAAAGTTTCTCAACACGATGACGACCACGCGACGCAGGCTGTAAACCTTTTCTACTGAAAAAATATATATGTATAATAAATATTATGTGTAAAATGTGTATGTAAAATATCTTTATGCTAAGATGCACTATGGCGAACAAC